CCCCACTCGCAATGCAAAATCTGCTTATCAAAAGCAAGTAAAAGAAAGAGAAAGCTCACCTTTTCGTTTATACTCTGCCTGAACTTTGACGAAGAACCTCTCTTTGAACCCAACTTCTTCGCTATCTCCTCTTAGGCTCATCGTTCCACCCGCAGTTTCGTCGATAGACATGTATTTGGAGTAGTAATTTTGAAAGGCGACCATGCCAGGTGCGTCTGGCAATATGACGGGTGTCCATTCTTCCTGGGGGCCGCGGGCCTGGAAATGCCGGCCGCAAGCGTTCGTGTTGGTGGGAGTGGGGGTTTTGCGTGGGCGGTTGACGGTGTGTGGTTGAGGCGATGTCAAAACGATCAATTTGAACCAATCGAAATCGAACGTTTGTCAAGGAAACGGGTGGTCGTGTGCCGGGTAGTTTTGAATTCAGAGGCGAGGAGCAGGTAATGATGAAATGGAATCTAATCAGTTCAACTTCCGCTCGCGTGGCCGAGAATAGCTCGAGGCAAAAACGCCACGAAAGGCTAGGCAGGGCTAAGCAAGGAGGACGGAGACCGCGAGGCGCGCACACGACCAATTATTTAGTCGTCCTCCTCCACTCTTAGCTTCGTTCGCTTTGGGTTCTAGTCAAACCATAAATCCATGCCGCCTCGGTCACCCTCTCCCCAAGGGGCCCGGCCACTTCTAGTGGGCTTTCAACCAAATCAAGAATTCACCAGAGCACGGCCACCACCAGCTCTCGGAGCTCCGGACGGAACGAATGGAAAAGGGGAAAGAGGCGAATATGGCAAAAGGGAATGACAAAGAGCTCTCACCTCCCGGTCCGAGCTGACCACTCCGTGTTGGTCACAGCTCATAAACTTCCCATCCGGAGTTCGGAGGTTGATGGTCGCTGAACCGGCTATTCGAGTGACGACCCACACTTGGTTCACCTAAGCGAAATGGACCAGACATCCATTAGAATCGGTTGTACCGGTTTCTCGCTGGGGTTTCAATAAAGCGAGGGGGATTTCAAAGCATGCTCACCTCAGTGGGAACGATGCTCCCAATCCCACCGCCATCCTCTTCGGCAGACAACGTATGCAACACTATTCTCGCTCGAGTCTGTTCGTAAGTGATACACGTCGGAGACTGCGGAGATGTTGGGTGAATGATAAACGTCGGACCGAGTACTTGGAGTGGGTTGGATGGGTAGACCCAAGCTGTTCGTCCAACAGTCGTCGGCCGGCAGCGACCACCCCCAAAGAGCGTGTTCCGTTCAAGGTTGTCGTGTGAGTGTGGAGGACGAGCGGAACAAACGTTCGTGATGGTTTGGTAAGAGGACGTCGTGGTCCAACAGCCGATTTTGCGTTGGGGGTGTGGGCAAAAGGGAGAGAGCCCAGCAGGTACACGCAAGCGCACGTTCGTTGTTAACCCCCCAAATGACGCATGTTCAAGAAAAGTCGTACGACGAGAAAAGAGAAAGTTAGCATCCGTCTACCACGCTCGTCTGATCCAGTTCCAACCCAAACCTCGGACGTACCTTGCGGATCTCCCCCTTCTGCATCGCTGCCCTCTCCACCAGAATCGTGACCACCAACGTCCTTGTCTTTGCGCTTGCGTTTCTTGCCCTTCTTGTCGCCTTTGAACGTCAGTTTCGTTGAGCGGACTTTGGCAGTCGAGTCTGACATTGGTTCGGACTCCGAGTATGAGCGGGGTGGTGGTTCGGAGAGACCAGCGTATGTCGGTGGCGGCAGGCGTGTGAAAGCAGAGAATGCCGCTGCTCAAGCTCCCTTCCTCCCTTGTAACCCCCAACCAAATCCATTGAATGAGCAAAGTATGAGTGCTGACGTAAAGACATTGAACATAGAGGAAAATCTGACGTACATAACCTCTTTGATTATTGTGCACAATAAAAATGTCGTCGCCATGCTTAACAAACTAGTTCAGTCGTTAGCCAGCATTTAGAGCACGCCCAAGCCCGTTTCATGTTCCCTAGATGTACGAAAGGCGTTTTTAGGTCTGGCCCATCGCTAGCTGACTCGAGAAAAAAAACATCGGAGAGGTTGCATATCGATTAGCCGGGAATTGTGGTCGAAAAGAGGACTACATGTAGATAACTAGCTTGTTGGAGCACCCGAAACATCAAAATTAGAAAGGTCATCATCATAATGAACAGCAAGTGTGTTTCAGATCGAACAATCATTTCACGCGGAGACATCCAGTACTCTCCAGAGAGCCAAAATACGTGGGAGTCGGAAGCGTATTTTAACCAATTATTTTCTATGTCTATGCTTGCGTGGCGCAGAAGACTGCGCGGGGTGTCGCATTGTTGGAGTGTGAGTCTGCGCCAAGCGGTAGAGTTCTGGTCCATAAAATTCGCCATATGCATTCCATCTGGAGGGAAGGAGATGGACCGAAACCCGCCTTCGATGTCGTCGAATGAAAGCGGTTTGCCGATGACCCGCCCAGTTTGAGCATCCCACAGTCGAATGCTGTCGTCGGTGTATCCCAATGCCAGAATACTGCCATCTGACGAAAAGCAGGCAGCTCGGGCGACGCGGGCATTGCCGTCCTTGTGGGCTTTCCACGGCACGCCGATGGGCCTACCGCTCTTGGCATCCAAGTACTGAATGCTGTTTTCACACGCCAAGATCTTGCCGCATGGGGAGAAGCAGACTTCGTCGGTAACACCGTGAATATTGTGGATGAGCG